AATACAAACTGTGATAAATATTACAGATAGAGTTATCTCCCTTTATTACAATATATATTACAGTAAAAAAAACGGAGTTCTCTCATTATTACAATGAAAACTGTAATCAATCCTATTATTACAATACAAACTGTGATTAATATTACAGATAGAGTTATCTCCCTTTATTACAATATATCTTACAGTAAAAAACGGATTTCTCTCTCATTATTACAATACAAACTGTGATAAATATTACAGATAGAGTTATCTCCCTTTATTACAATATATCTTACAGTAAAAAACGGATTTCTCTCTCATTATTACAATACAAACTGTGATAAATATTACAGATAGAGTTATCTCCCTTTATAACAATATATCTTACAGTAAAAAACGGATTTCTCTCTCATTATTACAATACAAACTGTGATAAATATTACAGATAGAGTTATCTCCCTTTATTACAATATATCTTACAGTAAAAAACGGATTTCTCTCTCATTATTACAATACAAACTGTGATAAATATTACAGATAGAGTTATCTCCCTTTATTACAATATATCTTACAGTAAAAAACGGATTTCTCTCTCATTATTACAATACAAACTGTGATAAATATTACAGATAGAGTTATCTCCCTTCATTACATATTCAATTACAGACAAAAACGGAGTTCTCTCTCATTATTACAATGAAAACTGTAGTCAATCCTATTATTACAATACAAACTGTAATTAATATTACAGATAGAGTTATCTCCCTTCATTACATAATCAATTACAGAAAAAAAACGGAGTTCTCTCTCATTATTACAATGAAAACTGTAATCAATCCTATCATTACAATACAAACTGTAATCAATATTACAGATAGAGTTATCTCCCTTCATTACATAATTAATTACAGTAAAAACTGTAGTTCTCTCAAATTATCATTACAATGAACATGCAATCAATCCTATTATTACAATACAAACTGTAATTAATATTACAGATAGAGTTATCTCCCTTCATTACATAATCAATTACAGAAAAAAAACGAAACGGAGTTCTCTCTCATTATTACAATGAAAACTGTAATCAATCCTATTATTACAATACAAACTGTAATTAATATTACAGATAGAGTTATCTCCCTTCATTACATAATCAATTACAGAAAAAAACGGAGTTCTCTCTCATTATTACAATGAAAACTGTAATCAATCCTATCATTACAATACAAACTGTAATCAATATTACAGATAGAGTTATCTCCCTTCATTACATAATTAATAACAGTAAAAACTGTAGTTCTCTCAAATTATCATTACAATGAACATGCAATCAATCCTATTATCACAATACAAACTTTAATCAATATATTAGATAGATTTATCTCCCTTTAATACATAATAAAGAACTGTAAATAGAGTCAAGTTCTCTTCTATTATCACAATACAAACTTTAATCAATATATTAGATAGATTTATCTCCCTTTATTACATAATAAAGAACAGTAAATAGAGTCAAGTTCTCTTCTATTATCACAATACAAACTGTAATCAATATATTAGATAGATTTATCTCCCTTTAATACATAATAAAGAACAGTATATAGACTCAAGTTCTCTTCTATTATTACAATACAAACTTTAATCAATAAATTAGATAGATTTATCCCCCTTTAATACATAATAAAGAACAGTAAATAGAGTCAAGTTCTCTTCTATTATCACAATACAAACTGTAATCAATATATTAGATAGATTTATCTCCCTTTATTACATAATAAAGAACAGTATATAGAGTCAAGTTCTCTTCTATTATTACAATACAAACTGTAATCAATACATTAGATAGATTTATCTCCCTTTAATACATAATAAAGAACAGTAAATAGAGTCAAGTTCTCTTCTATTATCACAATACAAACTGTAATCAATATATTAGATAGATTTATCTCCCTTTAATACATAATAAAGAACAGTAAATAGAGTCAAGTTCTCTTTTATTACAATACAAACTTTAATCAATATATTAGATAGATTTATCCCCCTTTAATACATAATAAAGAACAGTAAATAGAGTCAAGTTCTCTTCTATTATCACAATACAAACTGTAATCAATATATTAGATAGATTTATCTCCCTTTAATACATAATAAAGAACAGTAAATAGAGTCAAGTTCTCTTCTATTATCACAATACAAACTGTAATCAATATATTCGATAGATTTATCTCCCTTTAATACATAATAAAGAACAGTCAATAGAGTCAAGTTCTCTTCTATTATCACAAAACAAACTGTAATCAATATATTAGATAGATTTATCTCCCTTTAATACATAATAAAGAACAGTAAATAGAGTTAAGTTCTCTTCTATTATTACAATACAAACTGTAATAAATATATTAGATAGATTTATCTCCCTTTAATACATAATAAAGAACAGTAAATAGAGTCAAGTTCTCTTCTATTATCACAATACAAACTGTAATCAATATATTAGATAGATTTATCTCCCTTTAATACATAATAAAGAACAGTCAATAGAGTCAAGTTCTCTTCTATTATCACAAAACAAACTGTAATCAATATATTAGATAGATTTATCTCCCTTTAATACATAATAAAGAACAGTAAATAGAGACAAGTTCTCTTCTATTATCACAAAACAAACTGTAATCAATATATTAGATAGATTTATCTCCCTTTAATACATAATAAAGAACAGTCAATAGAGTCAAGTTCTCTTCTATTATTACAATACAAACTGTAATAAATATATTAGATAGATTTATCTCCCTTTAATACATAATAAAGAACAGTAAATAGAGTCAAGTTCTCTTCTATTATCACAATACAAACTGTAATCAATATATTAGATAGATTTATCTCCCTTTAATACATAATAAAGAACAGTAAATAGAGTCAAGTTCTCTTCTATTATTACAATACAAACTGTAATCAATATATTAGATAGATTTATCTCCCTTTAATACATAATAAAGAACAGTAAATAGAGTCAAGTTCTCTTCTATATCACCAAACAAACTGTAATCAATATATTAGATAGATTTATCACCCTTTAATACATATTAAAGAACAGTAAATAGAGTCAAGTTCTCTTCTATTATTACAATACAAACTGTAATAAATATATTAGATAGATTTATCTCCCTTTAATACATAATAAAGAACTGTAAATACAGTCAAGTTCTCTTCTATTATTACAATACAAACTGTAATCAATATATTAGATAGATTTATCTCCCTTTAATACATAATAAAGAACAGTCAATAGAGTCAAGTTCTCTTCTATTATCACAATACAAACTGTAATCAATATATTAGATAGATTTATCTCCCTTTAATACATAATAAAGAACTGTAAATACAGTCAAGTTCTCTTCTATTATTACAATGAAAACTGTAATCAATCACATTATTATAATACAAACAGTAATTGAAATATAAGATAGAGTTATACTTTGTAATCTAAGATTACTCAACGATTACACACCAATAAAACAAATAGTTATTTCTTGTCATTAAAAAGTAATACTCACAAATTACAAAGTGATTACTCACCGTTTACAGATTACTCGCCGATTATTTACCGATAAAAAAAAGTAATCACAAAGGGAATGCTCACCTATTACTCAACGATTAAAAAAGGGGAATTAATGATTTACAAAGTGATTACTCACCGATAATAAAAAGGGGGATTACTTACCGATAATAAAAAGGGGGATTACTTACCGATAATAAAAAGAGGGATTACTCACCGATAATAAAAAGAGGGATTACTTACCGATAATAAAAAGGGGGATTACTTACCGATAGTAAAAAGAGGGATTACTTACCGATAATAAAAAGGGGGATTACTCACCGATAATAAAAAGAGGGATTACTCACCGATAATAAAAAGGGGGATTACTCACCGATAATAAAAAGAGGGATTACTTACCGATAATAAAAAGGGGGATTACTCACCGATAATAAAAAGAGGGATTACTTACCGATAATAAAAAGGGGGATTACTCACCGATAATAAAAAGAGGGATTACTCACCGATAATAAAAAGGGGGGTTACTTACCGATAATAAAAAGGGGGATTACTTACCGATAATAAAAAGGGGGATTACTCACCGATAATAAAAAGAGGGATTACTCACCGATAATAAAAAGGGGGATTACTTACCGATAGTAAAAAGGGGGATTACTTACCGATAATAAAAAGAGGGATTACTTACCGATAATAAAAAGGGGGATTACTTACCGATAATAAAAAGAGGGGTTACTTACCGATAATAAAAAGAGGGATTACTTAC